TCTGACGAGCTGCGACAAGATCGTTGATGGATAAGGGCAAAGCCAAAGTAAGAAGACGGCCTTTTGGATACTTGGCGGTTCGAGTCAGCCAAATACCACGATGCCAGGCGTCAACTGCGACGTCGATAACAGGCTTGAGATAAGGATTGATGTGGGCGCCTTTGGGAGATTTAGGACCTGGAAGCACGCTGACATACACATTCTCTGGAGCATTTCTAAGAGAAATGGGCAAGTTCAAGCATGACAGCTTAAGAACGCCGATGCTCGCAGAAGATGAGTGCAAGGTTGCCCCCTTTGGCGGAAAGTAGTCAACACCAATCGAAAAAGCAACAGGTAAGCGACCTGGTTGCTTGATGAACAACGGCGTTTCCCCTGGTCCTTTGAATTCACGGATAAGTTTAGCCTGCAGGACAGTATAGACCAAGTCCGCATCTGCCTGAGGAGAATTAGGATCAATTTCATCCCAAGAGTTCTCGATGAACGTCTCGATGTCTGGGTTTGAGAAGAGGCGGCGCCAAGTAATCAAGGAATGAGGGCGAGAGGAACTGCTTCTTAGGACGCCCGCGAGAATCTAACAATTCCGCACGACAAGGAGAGCGATTCTCTGCTCCAACAACAACGTTTTCGCAATGGCTGACCCATGCTTGAACCTTGGTTGCGGTAGAAATGGGGGGATGGAGGTGATCACAAGTGGGGCAGACGGCATATAATGTAGTTTTCCCTTCGAGGTTCAATTTGTTCATGGTGTCGTACAAGGATGTCGGCAATTGAGAAAGGATGTCTTCTTCCACGACACCATATCCAGCAGCAGCGTCTGGTGAGGCCGACTGGAATGCCAATTTGATCATTAATCGAACCATTCGGATGATGAACTCCACAGGTTGTGTGGCCAGACCAAGGATCGTACTGCAAACGAGGGAGAACAGGATCATCATCTGCGGCAGAGGATGCAGACGCTTGATAGGATTCTCGAAGACATATGCTGTTGAATAAATGTCAACAGCGGACAGATACATCAAGTCAAGACGCTTACCGGAATCGTATTTCACAGGGCGGATATCTGCGGGCAGCCGGTTTTGCAGCAGGTCCCGCTGACGTTGCAGAAACTGCAAACGAGTCAAGGCCGACCCCTTCTTCAGCGATTGCGGCAGTTGCTGAAGGGAGGAGATGATGACTGCAATGGCCTCGTCTGCTTGATCTACCTTGCCCCACAGGATGGTCGCGTCCTGAATGGCGGCAGATGAACGGAGATCCTCGATTGCAGATTCGATATCTTGAGCAATATCGGAGACCAGGCGCTCTTTGCGTTCCTGGGCCGCGGCTTGAGGTTTGCGAGATTTTTCGCCAGGCTTAAGGAGTGTATCTGTAGCGTTCCACATCTGAGAGTATGGATGAATGATTGGGGTTGTCAATTGGCGAGTCATGAGTTGCTTCAGTGAGGGCAATGCGCGCCGCTTGAAGCGCAAGTTCATTCTGAAGCGCATAAGTTCAGAATATAGGGATAGAGCTCGGGACTTACGAGGTCGGGGTCAGTTTCTGCTCGTCCCGCCTTGGACGCGCGAAGCTCAGCCTTATGACTCTCCCAGTCCTTGAGGTCAACTCGGTGTGAATACGGGCGCAACGAGCATGAGCACTGCCTGTAAGAGGGCATTTGTGTCCGCCGAAGTGCGAAAGCTTGACTCCACAGACGGGTGGTTACCACTACCGTGCTGCTGCAGGACTGGCGGGGATACCACCAACCAGGACCGCTGGAGAGCAAGAGCTTGCACGCGAGCCGTTACCACTCGACTGAGAAGACGGAGGGTTACCACTACCGCGCTTCTGCAGTACGCAGGGAAAGACCACTGCCAAGTGGTGGTTGTCTCGATGAAGGACAGATGAACGTGACAGAAATCGGATCAGGATCGGTGACCTGACCCGCCGTGACTGGACGTGTGACCCGACCGTCGTGACCCGACGTGTGACCCTCGATCTTTCGTACCACAACCACGATAAAGCAGCGGCTTTTCCCTGCGTGTCCTTCAGTAGCGGTAACCCCTACGTAGGACTTATCGGTGCTCGCTATTCAGTTGGCTCCCTCAACCGCTACTCTTTCGTATCGCGACCACGATAAAGCAGCGGCTTCTCCCTGCGTGTTCTTCAGTAGCGGTAACCCCTACGTAGGACTTATCGGTGCTCGCTATTCAGTTGGTTGCCTCAACCGCTACAACAACGCAGTGGCTCTCTCCCTGCTCATCCTCTAGTAGCGGTAACCCCACTAAGGATCTGTTGTCTGCGGTTGCAGTTTTTTTTCCCAAATTTTCACCTGACGCTATCCGGTTCGTCTTCAAGTCCGACTCTCAAAACACGACGCTTATCTATATTACAGCTCATGTCTTCCAAATTCAACGACCTAGCGCCACACCAGAAAATTCAGCCCAATTTCTCGGAGGACACAGCAACTGAACGACGTCCACAACGAGATCACCCATACATGCGTCTGGCTCGCCAAGAGAACGCGCGAATTATAGCCACGACGTCAGAATCCACTCGTTCTGGGACCAGTTTGGTAGTCAACGGAGAACAACTGTCGCGGGCGTCTTCGCGTTATTCCGCTCGACCTCGCAGTCCGGGACTCTTCAGCAATCTGAAGTTCCAGAAAAAGAAGCAGCAACCCGAAGCCCCTCTTCCAGTTGTCCAGCCAACGACAACGATTGCCCCCATCTCGAATGCACCTCCCACAACCTTTGGGAGGCTGACTGGCGACACGGCTTTACTGGACTCGGAGTCGGATTACGGGTCAGATGACTCTTCACGAGGCACCGCGCCCCAACGTCCTTCGGGGCAGGCGTACCAACCACCTGAGCCGGAACTAATGCACTTGCATCCGGACAGGGTGCCGTGGTATGTCCCTCCGCCAGTTTATATCCGACCATCGGATAGACCACAACCGAAGGAAGCTAGCGCTGGTCAGAAGAAGAGGATACAAGCCAAAATAAAACCCACGCATTTCTTCATCCAGGAGATGGCAAACATGGAGAAAGCCATGTTTCAAGGAAAGAAAGGCTCGGGCGTCAAGTACTACGACCGCGTTCACAACCGCACAATTTCCATCCCTCATTATACGCCGCCGCAAGGCGTGGTAGACGCCGAACGTTTCGGCTTGCCGCCTCCTCCCGGGATGTATGCGTTTGTCCGCGATGAGCACGCCAATTGGAAGCCTGTGGCGCCAACGACATGGCTCTACATGTCGATGCAACCGCTCCGGTTCATCGGCAAGCACATGGCGACAAGGCACCAACTCCCAAGCCTGAGCAACTTCCATCCCCGCCGGTACTTCCATCCCGCACTCGACTGCGACTCCCGGCCCGGCGCCGACGTCGGCCCTAACTCCTGGCCCGCCCGAAACGAACGGTAGAGCCAAAGGCAGCACCGACTCCCGGCCCGGCGCCAAAGCCAGCTCTACAGCCAGCCGCGATTCCAAAGTCAGTGCCGAAGCCAGCTCCAGCGGTGTTGCCGGCCTCTCGGCCGAAATTCAACTCGCAGGCTGTCCAGGCCTCTCCTGCCATCCGAGAGATGAAAAGTGTGGGCGTCCAGACCGACGAGCCCATTAGTGCACCTGTCGAGATGCCATCCACAGCCCACGCGATGCCATCCGAAGCCCACGCGACAGCACATCCAGACTGGGATAAAATTTTGGCGCGCCAACGGGAACTTTGGACGAACAAAAAGCGACGCGCGGAAAGCCTTCCGTCTACCAATCCGACTGCTGCCATTCTCCCTCCCCGCAAAAAGGCCAAGCCGGCCTCGGCGGAGCCCTCCTCCTCCAGCAACGACAAGACTTTGATTCGTGGACCCCCCACTGCTCGTAATCGCGCTCGGACCTACGCACGGCGAATGGCGCGGCTCAGTCGTGATCAGGATGGGCCTTCCACAGGGGATCATCTCTGAGTTTGGTGATGGGCACTTGTAGCATATAACACTCCGTCGTAATGTACATTCTAGTAGTCGAATATCTGATTATTACTGCTTTTCAGTCCCTTGCGCGTCGAACGCGTTGTGACCTGCAAGGTGGACTTGATGGTTAACCTGTAGGTACCCCCGCAGGTCACCAGTATACTGCTCATATCTGTATTGGTTTCTGTGGCACTGAAATTAGTCGTATTTGTTGTAGTATATGAATAATTGATTCCTTTGTTTTCAGAAACAATATACATGTGAATGAATTCCTTTGTTTTTGGAGGACTGAAATGGACACAGAAACTCACTGTTTCTGTTCGCATTTCAGCATTGTTAAAGTGCTTTGTTTCTAGCTCACTGATTCTTGCACAGAAACCCTTTGTTTCTGTGCAAGAATCAGTGAGCTATAAGTTGCCACTTTCAATGGCGCGGAAACTAGCGCTGATAGGCGTAGTTTCCGTGGCCGTTTCGGGTCAGAAGAAAGAAGTGGTTTTGTTGGAGCTGATTTGTGTACATATTTGTCCAAATTCTGAGTCAGTTTCTGCTCAATTAAAATTTTGCATTTAAGTCGGCCTAATTCTACTACAGATTGGTTTAAAATCAATTATAGTTTCTGTTCGAGCTGATATTTTGCTTTTTCCGGTGTGCATGGTCGACGGAGTCAAGATGTGCCGTCATCAATTCACACAGTCACGAGTTGCTGAGTCAGCGGCGTCAACAAACTTTCCTCTTGCCAGTACTTATCGATCTCGCATCCGGCCCGCATTGCATCCGGCCGCGCTCCATCTTGGCTCCATCTCTTTGGACGACGCAAGGGCATGCTTCTCTGCTGCTTCTGTGCCACGCAATCCCGGCCTCCGTGGCTTCTCGCGGCCCTCGTGTTCCGTGCGCCGACCCTGAAGATGGCGGATAAGTGCCATCTGAGCAGGGCTTCTCCATCAACTTTCAGGGTAGAGGCCTCTTTCGTCATTTTGGGCTGCCTTAAATGCCTTTGACCCCTTTGCAGACTCCTTCACCCTCCACTTGCTCTCGACCAAACCACGCTCACTTCTTGAAGAAGAATGACGTCCTCGAGCTCCGAGTCGGAATCCAACACACAAGACGGCGCGAACGGCGCCCCGCCTACACAGAAGTCCTCACTCGACGCGCTGCGCGTGCCGGAGACCCCCCAGGCCTTTGTCAGCGAGGTCAACGAGGAACTGGTGCGATCTTCACGGTCGTGACATTGCACTCACTTCGCTCATAGCCCGGGAAAAACGTGGATGCGGATGTGCAGACCATCCTGGACTCGCGCGCGTCCGCTGGCCTGAGCGACAATGCAGAGGTGCGTTTTCCCTTCATTGACGCTGTTATTTACTCAGTTTAGTCCGGTTCCCAGACAATCGGTTCTCCTGTCCGGCAGGCGGCTGACGAGGCAGACACGCTGGAAGATGCGGAGCTCGGAAGCTCGATGGACGCGTTGGACTTGAACGTCGTCGACGTCGGTCAAATCCCGGTGCGCCATCCCACATGCGGAGTCCTTAAAATGTCTCATCTTCTTCAACTTAAAGGAACTCGTTGAAGCCGTGCCTGAATACACACTGCTCCTCGCTGCCAGTGTGCGTGTTCCGGGCCAAATGGTGCTATTACTTTCTTGCGGCTCTGCCTTAATTGAACGTTCTCAGAGGACACGGACCGAGGCAGGCAGCGACGCGGGAGATAGCGACGATGGCGACGAATACCCGACGGACTCCGACTCGGATTCGGGGGAGCATGATCATGAGGTACGCTTCTGTGTTTTTTGCTCTCGTTGCGCTATTATCTCACGCCGGCGTCACATAGCGCATTATTCCCAGCCCGCGCGCCGTAGATGAGGACGACCTGAGTCCGGAGCCTGAGGCCTGAGGACGAAGAGAGATAAGACGCGGAAGACGCGTTACTCAGTCCGAGTCTCAGCGGGAATCTCATCAAGTTACTTGACTGTGGTCGATAAGGAAAAGCGACGTAGACAATTTTGCATTCCTAGGAGGGATTCAACTCCTTCCACAAATAAAATGTGATCCCCGCTTCGTACAATGATATCGTCATTCTCAATTGAAAACGGAATGTCAGAACACGACGCGACCGGCGAGCCGTGACGGCGGACCGGCGTAAGTGCAGTTGTGCCAGTGCATTTCCTAGGGGTGGTAACGGTGTCGGACGAGGTTTCTTGCTTTGCCTCGTAAATTAACTTTGGCTTTTGGAGGACGACTGGGTCGGCTCTGATGATCCCCAATGGGTGAGGAGAACCACTGTATATATCTATGTATGGCGGTACTTCTAAATGCTATCTAAGTTCCACAGAATGTCAAAATGCTGAGATAATCGGGATGACGTCAGCTTCAGATTTCTCTTCTTACTCTCATGGCGCCGCGACGTCGACAGACGGCGGAATCCGCAATGGCAACGCTGCTCCACCTTCCTCCCGAGATATGCGCGTTGATATGTGCCGTTGTCGAACCCAAGACGCTATTCGCCCTGGCGCGCGTATCGCACACGTTTCGCGACGAAGCACAAAGACTCATCTTCCAGAGCGTTGATCTGCGCGATGGCGGGAAGGCGCTGGCGGCCTGGTGTCGGGCTGTCTCCCGCAATGCCCGGCTGGGCGGATACGTACGGCGATTCACGATCTCCTCGCGGGAGGTCGTTGCTGGCTCGGACGACCCCGCCCGGGTGGCACGTGCGCTGAAGAAGTGCACCGGCCTGCAGCGCCTGGCGGTGCATGCGCCCGCGGAGTTTGGCGGGGACGCGACGCAGACGTGGGTCATCGACCACCCGTCGTTCCGCCTTACCCACTTCTCCAACTCGCACTTTCGCTTCGCGTTCCTGCGGCAATTCTTCAACCGCCAGACGGACATCCGCGTGTTGTCGCTGCCAATGATGCCGATGGGGCTCCAGGACGGCGCATTTCCCTGCTCAGAGGATCAGCTGCCGAAGCTAATTGCTTTGGAGGTGCCCTCCACAGACTTGCTTCCCACGGAGCCACGGCCGCTGCAGCGCATCCAGCTCCGCCTCATCCGCCAATACCTGTCACGCGATCTCACTCGCCTCCAGCTCTTCGCGGCGACACTCACCAGCCTCAGCATCTCCGAGGTCGCCGTCATATCCCTCGAGGAGACTTTTGCCGCGATCGCCCAGGCGGCCCCGCACCTGCAACATCTGGCGCTGACCGAGAACCTTGTCCCCTTCTTGTATGTCAGCACGCCACACTGTAAACCAACGCAACTGACATTCCTAGTGAGGAGAACGACGAGCGATTCCAGCGCACCGAGGTCCAGCCGGCCCCGCGCGCCGCCCTCCCGCGGCTGCGCCAGCTCAAGACGCTCGTGCTGTACACGTACCACACCACCACCCTCGTCGACGGGCTGACAAACCGCAACTACCCGCTCCTTGAGCCTGAGCGTGTCGCGGAGCTCTTCCTAGAGATCGCGCCGGGGCTGAAATCGGTCACAATCGGGGCCTACGCCGGGTCGCCGCGCTCAGGCTGGCGGTTCGTTGCTGCGGAGACAACGTGCACCCTCACGCGCGGGGAGGGATCCGCGGCACATACGGTGAAGATTGGAAACGGGTACGACTTCAATGCGGTGTCGCAATTCTGGGATTAGGAACACAAGTTTCCGCGTCTGGGTATCTCGGATCTCCAGTTTAAAATTTCAATCGATATCCTCCTCTTTACCCTCTTCAAAGAATCGTTGCTGTCCATGGCGAAGAACATGTCAAACTTCAGTTTTGGCTGGGCTACACTAATTGGCCGCTGCAGCCGCTGCAGTGCCGCAGCAGTGCCGCAGCAGTACCGCTGCAGTGCCGCGTCACTACCGCTGCAGTACCGCTACAGTGCCGCGTTAGTGCTGCAGCACTGCTGCACTTCTCGTGAGATGCCGCTGCACTGCTGCTTATTTAGAATTATGTTTCACAAGGGAATGCTGGTTAGCCATGGTTTCAGGACCTAGTGTAGATCTAGCATACATGGTCACAACTTGAAAAGAAAATTCTTGGCAATATTTTGACCTATATAGACTCAACTAGGCAATGGCACGGGTAGGCCATACCCGCGCGGGTACGCGGGTTTTACCCGTGCGGGTACGGGTACGGGTCAGTGCAGCCCTTACCCGTTGCTTCCTGTTCCCCTCGTGATTTGGTGGTCAAGAGGTTCTCTGTTCGATTCTGCATTTCTGTTCCATTTTTACCGCACATTTCTGGCGTACTTTGGACACTAATCACAGTCTCGTCACCATGCCTTCTTGACTCCCTGCGCCACCCGTGGGTAAAACCATACCCGTACCCGCGGGTATGGGTACTGTGGCTGTGCGGGTAAGGGTACGGGTAGGCCCTCGGATACCCGTGGGTATACCCGTGCCATTCCCTAGACTCAACTCCTCAGTGAGACAAGAGGGGGGGGTGTTTCCACTCCCATTCAGCCTGCTGCCAGTGAGTGGCCAAGTCACTGCAGTTACTAGGATGTACACTCTACCCAAAAAGGAAAATTTTGAATAACATTTCAAGAGCCCAGACCTAACTCCTCCTGGGAGCCCAGTGAGGTAAGAGAGGTAGCTTTAGACTTACTCACCCAATTTCAGTAAATTCTAACACTGGGCACAGAAGTAACATAATTTCCTTTTTGGATCAGCTCATCATCTGACATAGAGAGGAGGGAGGAAATCTCATAGATGTGATATGCAACAAGTTATATATAGAAATATGCCCAATGGATAGTATACCAGAAGGCCAAGTCTTAATATTATGTGCTCCTAGCGGTAACCGTGTGTGTAGCGGCAGTGTACATGTGTGTAGCGGCAGTGTGACGGTCCCGCTGGGGTGCCGCAGCACTGCCGCAGCACTGCCGCAGCACGACCGCCTCATGACCGCTGCACTGCCGCTGCACGACCGCTGCACTGCCGCTGAAGGTCCGATGTCAGCAGCGGCAGTGGGATGCGGCAGTCAGCATCTGCCGCTGCAAAGTGCCGCTGCGGCCGCGTCAGAGCCGTCTGCGGCTGTTTACCAGTGTTTGTCTCAATTTTGATAAGGCATTTTTCTAAGGTTTAAACACAAGTGTACTCTATTCTAGCTGTTCATACAGGTGTAGATTGAATCATTTTATTCAAAATGTAGCGAAGTATAAGGATTCAATGTATATCAACAGCCTACTTGAGTTGCCGCTCACCGTGGCTGTGCAAAGTGCCGCTGCAGCGGCTGCTGCGGCAGTGCTGCGGCCGATTCGCGTACCCCGTTTTGGCTCGTTGGCAAACCGATATGTACACGGGGGGCACACATTTTTGAGGCGCCAAGTACTATTGTTTCGACCTAGTACCGCGAGAACCTTTGGCTCGGAGCGTCATATGCAATTGAAAAATTGCTGTAGAAGGTAGGGTCGTGGCGGAGCCTGACAGAGAGCATTAGCTACGCCGCGCGCAACAATCCTTTGGTTCGAACTTCGCTCTCAGCTGCTTCCCGATGGCGACAACCGCAACATGCACTACGCGTGCGTCATCACAATCACCGCGACACCAGAGAGTACACCATAAATTTTCAATCTTCATTGTGCGCGGACGCCGGACTAGTCGACGTCGACATGGATTCACTAGGTATGATATACCTATTCATGGACCAACTAACTATAACCTGGACCATAGGCCGTTGACAGCAACCAAGCCAGTTTTGAGCACAAACACGGCGGCTGCGCAGTCTGCGCGTTGGTCGGTCGCCACTGCAAGTGTGCTGGTGCCGCACCGCCCGGGCCGAGCCTGCCGGTAGCAAGGCTGGGTGCGAAGGCAACACCCGCCTGTTGATGCCAGTGCGGCGTGGCGTCGGTGGCGTAAGATGCACCGAATGGATCCAGGCTATCTCCATCACTATTGAGGCGTGGATTTCCTGATGCTGTGGTGTCGACTGGGTTCCAGCCGGAGTACAAAGGCTGGCTCGGCACGAGGAATTCACGTTCGCCCCTAGCGGTACTGGTACCGGACCATTGCCGCTCAACGCTGGGGCTGGAACTTGGCGTGCCGGTCCCATAGGCAGTGATCGATGGTGAGATTGCCGAGTACGCGGCGGTGGAAAGGGATGTGCCATAGGCGCGTGGATATCGATGCCCGCCGAGCCAATTCGAGTCACGGCTCGGCACTGCTTCAGCCGTTGTCAGCTGCGGCACAGCGCCTGTTAGCAACCATGGGTCCCAGTATGGCTGAAGCGGCACCGAATGGGCATCAACGGCTGACATCGTCGATGTCAATGCGGAAGAGGCAGCCGGTGAGTGGAAGCTTGACTCTGTATCTGTAGACTCAGAGGCTTGCCAGTGGAAGTCCAGATTGGAGTCCCAACCAGTACCCTGAAGGACAGACTCAGTCGCAAGGGACGCCGTTGATGGCGCGATAACACGGATCTCCCGGCCCGCTTCCGACCGCGCCGGTGGGCCGGCCCTGGCTGCGGCTCGGGGAAATGGTGATACAGGCAAGCGTCTTCTGCCTCGGCACGCACGCTCTTCTGACGGCCCCGAACCCGAATCTGCGCCGCGCGCATCGCAACTTGCTCCGCCCCGCGGTGGCCGCCGGCCATGGTAGCTTTCCGCCCGGAGCGTTAGCACCGGCTCATAGCTACACACACGGCCGGTCTTGCGGCAGCGCAGACACTTCCGACTCTGGGAATCCGTCATACACTGAAGCTCGTGATCAGTCTAAGCTTCCGCCCTACGCAGAGACAAGGGCATTGCAACTCGCCTTGGTTTTGCTGGCGCGGCAGTGTGTGCACGCGCGTGAGACGCGATCTGGAACCTGCCAGTGTGCGTGATAGGCCAAGTTTTCGTCGAGGGGCGTGTAGTCCTGGTCGACTGGGGAAGCTCCCATTAAGTTGAGTCCAATGAGTCGGACAGGACAGCTCTTCCAGTCTCTTATATGGGGAGCTCTCTCGAGCTGATCGGCAGCGTAATATGTAGAACAGCCCGAGGCCACTTAATTTTTGCATTCGCGTGATAAGCACTCGCATGATTGGCACTCGCATGATTGGCACTCGCATGATTGCCCTTTTTGGCATGATCGTTCAGATTCCTTCTGTCCACTGTGAATACCAGACACATTATAGGTGATGGCAACCCAGTTCCGCCACCAGGTGGTGGCTCCCGGTAGCATGTCGCAAACTTTATGCGTGTTTTTGCAGATGAAATACCATAATTTTCTTCCAGACAAAGAATTTATTAGTTTTCTCAGTGAGCAATAGGAAACCAAAGCCAAAATGTCATGCCTGCCTCAGTAGACTAGAGTCCTTCCCTCAATTCTATGGTATATATATATATGGGATCATGCAACGGTGTATATAGTATACAGTATAGCGCATATTATGAGATTCAAATCCATGTATCCGAGTCATTCGCCATGGGGAGATGACATTTTGTTTGTCATGGCTATCGCGCAATGTGGTTATAAATACCTCTGGGTCAAAACGGTCATAATACATATCGGAAGTACTGTAAGCAAAGCATTTTAAGTACTTGCTACACCACAGATGTGATCACTTGCCTTATTTTCATACTCCGTCTTGTCTTGCATGCCCGCCTCCTTAGATGCAGCGATGTCTGCCGGCCCGTAAACTCTATCGCGGCGACGATTCCACAGAAACATGCTGAATAAAAACCCCATATATCAAGAATGGTTTGGGGCCAAATGGAAGTCGACGCACTAGACAAGGAGCATAATCTGGCATCCGAGCTTGATCGAGTATCCTGCGAGTAGTCCAGCCGTCGCATCTTGCTGAACAAGAGAAATCCATCAGATACTCGTTTGGCATGCGTGATCAAAGGCAAGTGATACTTACGTAGAACGGCGCCTGCGATTGCTTGACCCTGGGATCGAACTTGAGTACGGCAGGCAAAAATGGAGAATGAGATAATTCTATACACGAATGGCCCCGCAACATTGCCGAAGCAGTATGCCGTGCTTGCGACGCCTCAGTCATCCTGAGTCGAGAAGGAGGCAGGGAAACGCACAATATCACCGCAGAGGCCACCGTCCGGTGCGTGTACCCGCCCATATTCGAGGACACCATCACCAAGCTCGCAGCCTTCGTATCGCGATTGGTCAGCCGCCTGCTCAATCAAAGCCGGAAGAGATCACGCACAAATCCGACGCTTTGGCAGTTGACGAGCCAGAACGAGACGAGCCGGCCCCAGACGTGGTGTCGCGGGAGGTACGCCATGGTAGCAGCTGACACGACACAGATGATGTTAGCAGCGGTCGACACCAACAAACGGGCTGTTCGCGGGCGTCAAAGGCGATACATTTTGGAGTAGGGGGATACTGACTGTTCGGGATATTCAAGGTGATGACCCCGCCCACGACAAGAGCGACGATCTGGGTGATGTCCCCCACACTCTTGAGAACGGTGGTCTTGGTCGCTGGATCCCTTGTGAGGAATGTTCCGCATGCACAGGCAAGAAGAACAGATCGTACTTGAGAAGCCCATGTCTTTGCTGGCAAAAAACCTCAGCATGGAAAGTACGTAAAACACGCGGAGGACACACATAATAATCGACGAGAAGTTGGTGACAACCCCGTTCGGGATCGCCGCCGCGAAGATGGACGAAAACAGTATCCAAATCTTGATATCCTTGACTGCAATAATATGTTCAGTCAATAATCAAAGGACGAGCGGGTAGGTGCGTACCGGCGACCCAGACCTGCTCCATCTTGAATTTCTTGTTCTTAATCCCTATCTGGTTTCCCGCCACACTTTGTACCGCGAGCAGCCGCATGCGCGGGGACAGCCACCGTGCAGATGCCGGCGAATCAGGTAGCATGAGCCAGACGACGATGGCCCAAGCCATCGTCACAGAACCGAGAATATAAAATCTAACGCAGTCAGTGACTCGAAAAAGCATGTCAAGGCATATACATATGTACATATATTGCCATTGTTCCGGTCCCGGCGCGTTGGGTGAGATTTTGGAGATTCCGGCTGCAAAGGATAATTTAGATGGAAACCAGACCGTTGTAAGCAGAAGGTTAACTTGAAGTACTGTCAAAAGTGCTCAGTGGGCGCTCAGAATAGTCACAGAACATACTAGCTCCCTATGACTCCGCCCCAGCCGAGCCCGGAGTACCCTGTGTAGAAGATCATTCGCGAATTCCGCACATGGTTCCAATATGCACTCACATATGAATTGCCGAAGAGGCAGCTCTCGCCGCGTGTACCACCAACCGCTTACGAATATTAATAGCTCAGAGACAAACCCTCCAACACAACAAGACAGACTCACGTCATGAGAGTCAGACCAGGCGATACACTCGCTTCAAAGATTCCTAAAACAAACCGGTTGACCATCGCAGTTCTGAAGTTGGTGCATTGGGTCACTTTCATCGGCCGCAATCAGGAGGAATGACGGAAAAAATGAAGGAGGATAACGCACTCGTTAAAACGCACAAGCCCCAGAGGAAGATCGTCACTGAGAGGACCTTTTGCGCTGAGTACCGGCTGATGAGGATCTGAATCGGATATTGTGCAACGGCGTAGCCAAAGTAGACTTGTGCAGAAAGCCAGCTGGGCGCAAAGGTCAGCGTCAACTCAAAAAAACAGAGATAGATAGAGACACACTTGAACTGATTTCCCTGAAGATGAAGCGCTTTCTGGAATCCGAAAAGATTCGCATAGTTCAGAGCGGTTTTCTTTCAACATGTAAGTGAATGAACTCAAGGAACACCAAAACACGCACATCCAGGAACTGCAGCGTCTGTGTGATCAAGAATATAGGCATGATGATGAGGTCGATGCGCCAGCGGACCGCTCTGTCGTCCTCAGAGCTTATCTCGGCGCCGTTCTCCGCGAGACCCTGCTTGTACTCGTGGTACCCAACGTTGTCCGCCTCTTCCGCCTCTGTGATTGCGTAGAGCGTGCCGTCGGCGTCACGCGATGTCTTCTCCGTTTCTTGTTTGTCGGCGGAGTAAGAGGTGACCGTGGCGACGCTGTCTGAGCGGGCGAGGGTGGTGGCCATGACGGTGTGGGGCTAGTATTCGCGCGCTGCCGACGCGTTTCATGTCTTCTAATTTGGTCGTGCGTCCTTGGGACGGGCCTGTCCGAATACTGACATGAGGAACAGCGGCAAGAAGTGACTGTGGGTGAGGAACCGCGTGTGGCCCCGAGTTTGGAACGGAATGAAAGGACAACGCCAGCCTGAGCCCAGAGCGGCGCGCAGAGAGAAACAGCCACTTGTTCTATCAAGTCCGCACTATGTGTTTTGTGAAGCAACGACCAGACATATCCAGGACGAACTCACCGTCGTTTATCTACTCATGGCGGTCTAAAAACAAGTGGTGGTGACGCGACTTCTAAAACGGGCAATCTTTACCCACGCTCCCGGGCCCTTCCCGCATAACCACCACCAATGATTTCCTTCCACTCGGGGCCACCCCGTGTCGCCCTTCCTCTCTCTCCACGTCTGTCATGGCCGCAGTGGACCCCGTCATCGCTACCCCGTCCGCCGCCTGCTGCCTCGAAGGCTACCCGCACACTGGCTCGCCCAAAGGCGAGTTCGTCCACGTCGCGGAGGTCAACACATACGTCACGCGGCCTCCCAGCAAGGCGCAGGAGAACCGCGTTATCTTGTGGGTGTCCACTCATTCGAAAGTCTCTGCCTCAATGTGCCATAGCTACTTCCCCCGACGTGTGGGGCATCGATATCTTCCAGAACGGCCAGTTGTTGTGCGACTACTTCGCGTCCAACGGGTTCTTGGTGCTTGCGATGGACTACTTTCGCGGCGTGCGTCTCACACATCCCTTTACAAAGCTCTGCTTGAATGCTCTTGCAGGACCCGGTCACTTTGCACCGCAAAGAACGGGGGGACACGACTATGGAGCCCTCGTTTGATTTCGAGGCGTGGAAGGCGAAGCACCAGGCGTTCGCACAGGTCGCTGTTCCGAAATGGATTGCAGAGGTCAAGGCGAAATACGGTGCGCTCTACCACTCGCTTGCTTGTCTAATATACCAATCATTGTTTGTAGGTAGTGCAGACACCAAATACGCGTGTGTGGGCTACTGCTTCGGCGCGCCATACGTTATGGACGCGCTGAGCGAGGACACAGACTGGGTGTCTGTTGGCGCATTTGGGCATCCCGCATTCTTGCATGAAAGTCATTTCACCAAGTGCTCCCGTATGTCCCGTTTTTCTTTGGATGTTCCTATTGCTAAAGCTAGTGTCTAGGCCCGCTGCTCCTCTCCTGCGCAGAGACGGACCACACCTTCCCCGCCGAATCGCGCCACCGCGCAGAGGCGCTTCTCACCGAGCGCTCCCACCAGGAGCAGGGCAAGAGCCTCCGATTCCAAATCCAGTTTTTCTCTGGGGTGAGCCACGGGTTCTGTCTGCGCGGAAACATGGAGGATGCTTGGGAACGTGCGTCTGCTTCTCTAGACTTTGTTGCTCGGGAAATACTAACGGAGTACTGTGTAGGCTATACGAAAGAGGAGAGTGCGAACGCGATAGTGCGTTGGTTCAAGTTGTTTATGGACTGAGTTACCGTCAGTAAGGATATGTGAGATAGCAATGGAAGTTTTGCGGCGTCCTCTTCACATGAAATTGGTACCAGTTAATACATAAATGATAAGTTCGACCTGGGGGCCTGGGGCTTGAGCCTTTGCCACTGAGCCTGAGCAAAGTAGAAGTTCTCTACCGGAAGTTGGACTAAGAATATACTTCGAGTGAACACTGATTCGGAAAGGATTACTTCGGTCTTCGCCCAAACAGGCTATTTTTACCCACGCTCCTTTCCGCATAACCACCATCGCACTACCCATGCCTTCTGAGTCCCTTCAAGTTCCACTCCGTGTCACCTATTATCGCTCTCTCCACGCACTCCCATGGCCGCAGTAGACCCCGTTATCGCCCAGCCCTCCGCCGCCTGTTGCCTCGAGGGCTACCCGCACACCGGGTCGCCCAAGGGCGAATTCATCCACATTGCGGAGGTCAACACGTATGTCACCCGGCCGCCCAGCAAGTCACAGGAGAACCGGGTCATATTGTGCGTGCTGGCTTATCTCAGTTGACCTCACTGCAGCTGCGCGCCAGGTACTTCCCCGACGTATGGGGCATCGACGTCTTCCAGAACGGCCAGCTGCTGTGCGACTACTTCGCGGCCAGCGGGTTCTTGGTGCTCGCGATGGACTACTTCCGCGGGGTGCGTTCACCGCGTCGTGGCAGGTTTCCGAAAGAATTTATTATTTCGGGTACAGGACCCCGTCACGCGCTATCTCAAGACACAAGGGAACCCGACGACCGAGCCCGGGTTCGACTTCCAGGCGTGGACGGACAAGCACCAGGCGTTCGCGCAGGTCGCGGTCCCGAAATGGATCGCAGAAGTGAAGGAGAAATATGGTGCGTTATTTGCATGCTTAGAGTTGTATCTCTGACACGCAACTCTCTTACAGGCGGCGCAGACACTAAATACGCCTGTGTGGGCTACTGCTTTGGCGCCCCCTATGTCATGGATGCGCTCAGCGAGGCCACAGACTGGGTGTCCGTCGGCGCATTCGGGCATCCGGCGTTCCTAAACGAAAGTCACTTCACCAAATGCTCCCGTAGGCCCTTGCTTGCAAAAGATTTCCGCTGAAGCTGTTCCCAGGCCCACTCCTCCTATCGTGCGCGGAGACGGACCACACTTTCCCCGCCGAATCGCGCCACCGGGCGGAGGCCATCCTGACCGAGCGCGCCCAGCAGCACCAGGTCCAGAGCCTGCGCTTCCAGATCCAGCTGTTCTCTGGGGTGAGCCACGGGTTCTGTCTTCGCGGGAATATGGAAAACGCATGGGAACGTATGTCTGCTTAGTATCCTGCCCTGTCGAATGCGAAATACTAACGGAATGCTGGGTAGGTTTTACGAAGGAGGAAAGCGCGAACGGAATTGTCCGTTGGTTCAAGATGTTCATGGATTGAATTATATCATGAAGAAATGGTCCGATGAGAATGAAAATCGTGTTTGGCTCTCAGGCATTTGGTGTTAAGAATCAACAGAATCTTCTGTTCAGTCAACAACTGATCCGGCCCCGAAATCATGATACTTAGTTACTGACTCTACAGCAGCCGGCCCCCGTCTTGCTCTCTCTCTCTCTCGCTCTCCCACCTCACCCATGTCTACATTCTCCTTTGACTCCCTTCCTCCGGAGCTTGTCTTGTGCATATCCCCCTGCCTCGTCACGTCCGCGCTAAACAGTCTCGCGTCTTCCTGCCGTCGTCTGCACGCTCTCCTGCAGCCAGAGCTCGAGGCCCGCCTGACGCCCGACGTTGCGCAAGATCTAACAATCTGGTCCATCCGCAGCCACAAGCCGCATTTCCTCGCCAAGCTGCTCGCGCCGCCGCACTCGATCGACGCAAACAAGCACATCAAATGGGACCACCCGCTGCTCGTCGCGGCAGCGTCACGAGACCTCGACTGCGTCCGCCTTCTACTTGACGCTGGCGCCAACGTGTCGGTGGACAACGGCCAGGAGGAGAAGCAGGCGCTGCACTCGGCTGTGCAGCACGGCGACCTCGCCATGGCCCGGCTGCTGCTGGCCCGCGGCGCGCACGTGGACGTCCCCTTTGGCTGCGACGGCGTGAGCCGGAACTCTCTGCACGTGGCGAGCGAGCTCGGGAATATCCCGCTGGCGCGGCTGCTCCTGGACGAGTTCGGCGCGAATTTGGAGGCGGACGGGCACTACGGCACGCCGCTGGCGTTCGCGGTCCACGCGCGGCAGCTCGAGATGGTCCGATTTCTGCTGAACAGAGGCGCGAACGCAACTGTGAACGCGCCGCTGTTCATTCTGCTCACCGGCGGCCCGCCGCCGCCGCTCAGCTCCGACCTCATCTACATGGCGCTCGGCCTCCGCAGCCCGATCGACCACCACTTGCGCGAGCTGTTGCGGCGATATCAGGAAACTAGAGGGGTCACGGTCGGCCCATGGGCCGGACTCCCGCTGACGGAGGATAAGAGGGAGCTGCTCGCGCTGCTCACGCGGGCCGGCGCGAGCCACGAGAAGGCGCTGCGGCTGGTGCAGAGACACGTGACGAAGTTGGCGGAATCGGCTATGTGTAGTGAGGCGGAGCTGCTCGAGATGGTCCGAGGAATGTTGAAGGAGGCGGAGGACTTTGTGCCGTCGCTCTCCCAGTGACTATGACAACTTGCAAGTGCCACAACCTTGAACATACTTGCATTATACATATACTGAGCCTGATATTTTTTGCACAGGTTGTCCTTAGCCTAAGTTGATGAAAGTTGTGCGTTATAGGATGAAGTTGTCTTGAGATAAGTGACACTTGTATCAAAAAAAAAAGGTGTCAATGATTAAAGTTGTGCAAAAATTATCCAGAAGATGTTGTTTCAGAGAATGTTACAGATCATCACAAAATGAAAGGTTTGAGTAAACAAATAACTGTCATTATGTGACTTATAGTGGCGTTTGCTTTGAGTGGCTTAGTCAGCTGTCACAATTTGGTTGTGACTAGGCTGTTGGCACCATAGAGAGCATGGCTTTGGTCGAGAGCATGGCTTTAATCTAAGCAAGTTCACAAGAGCAAAGTGTAAACTTGTTTGTCCTGTCAAGAGTCAAAATTGTTGCATGGCCAGAGTCTTCAGCCAACACAATAACTTTGTAAATCAGCCATCTACTGTCCTATTTCGATCAACTGTCCGGGTTACGCGTTACGCGGACACCCGGACAGGACTCATTTGGGCCTCGTTACGCGTTACTTTGGGCTCCGGACACGTAACAAAATGAGACCAAAAATGGAAATTTTTGCCAAAATTTTCTACGATTAGTGTGAATTACTTAATGGCCTTCCCAAACCTGTGCATCGTAGCGCGAGTTCGTGGTACGTACTCGGTGACCCCGACCAAAGATCAACTCCGCCTTCGCCACAACACTCTCCTCAGAACCATCTACCGCTTGCTCCTCTGCCTCAAGAGTCTCGGCCTGCCCTGAGCGCGCAATTCCGCCATTCTCGCCGAGTGTAAAGTTGGGAAACTGGGTTGCAGTGCCCGAGATGACAGCCTGAGCTACGTCGAGAGGAGTATCAGAGTCATCCTCGACACTCTCCGAGAATGTTGGCTCCTCGACCTCGGAATCAGGGATCATTGCTGTTGGAGCCGCTGTCTCCGTCATGCCCACAAGCTCTCTATGGAAAGCAGGGTTATCAAGATGGAGACGTCGTAGACGAGCCAGAGTGGTGCTTGACGTGAGACTTTCATGCGAAAGGTTCATGTCGGAGGTGCTGACACGACACATCTCGAAAGCCTGCAAGGTGTTAGCAAAAGAAGATCAATGACAGATGTCGACCCCATACCTTCTTAACGAGCACAGGATTATTAACATCGTTCATTGCCTGTACAATCCAGCCAACAGAGCGGTCCCGCAGGGTACCAACGGTGGTGTCTAGCCGTATCTCTGCCGGTGATCGTCCCACATTAATCTCGGCCAGCGCTTCCTCGACAATGTCTCGATGGGCAGACCGCTTGATGCTGAGCTTGAGAACACGTTGAATCCCAACATCGAGAGGCTGGAAAATGCCAGTGCATCCACCAGGAACGAAGATGACGATGATATTTGAATGGTGTTGTCGCATCCAGGTCAGGAAGTCGTTGGAACGGTGGACAGACCGCCACCGATCTTCCAGATGGACATTTGCGTCGAAGGGAGTCCGAGCTCGGTTTTGCGCCGCTCAAAGTATGGGGCGATGATGTCGTCGACGAGATCGTGCATCGTCTCATGGTTCGACCAGTAGGACGGCCCTCCTGATTCGGTAATCTTGTTGCCCATTTTGTTGGATTCGTCGTATCGTGGAGCTGACTTGGAAGGACACGAGGCCTCCGTTTTCCCGCCATATACTGTTTGTGTTGGCAGCAGAGTGCCGTCCGCTGCAATCGATGGAACCAATGTGAAAGCCCGCTTCTCCTCCTGTCCTACCACTGCCACCTGCTTCGCGCCTCGTTCATTCCATGTCGTCCCAGAACCCTGTTGATAGACCACTTGCGTCTGGTCGGTGTTGACACGCAACGCGGCCGGAACATTATAGTCGCGAATGACCCATGCCTCGCGAAGAAATGCCTCCTCCAATAAGCGCTCGTGGTCCTTGGGAAGTTTCTGAGCAGCCTTTGTAGCTCGTCGCTCACTCCATTTCAGCTCTTCTCGTAGATAGCGTCGAACGAAGGACTCAGAGCAGCGGAATTTGCTCCCATCGGAGCCAACTTTACATTCGAAGAGGTGAGGGGCGTCGTGTTGGATATGGGCAACCATGATACCACGAGCAGTTAGGACGCTGACCGGAATGCCAACGTTTCGTAGAGCTTTGAGCTGGTCGTTTATTTTCTTGCGCGTGAGAGGATATGGCGCCTAGAAAGAGATTCAGAATGAACACAATAAACTAATTGTAACGCACCAGAATACCACTCCGGGAGCCCTTATGGCCAGCCGCATTTCCTCTCTCGACCGCTCTTTGCACCGCCTCAGTCCACACTATTTGTTTCGCGGTTGTCTTATCTCGATCTATCCAAAGCTTCGAGGCGAGCGTCGACCCAGTTGTCGCTCAGCTGCGTAAGAGGTATGTCTGGGTCTACGCGGTGCTGTAGACTGTTAAGCGAGAGCATGCCACAGGAAAACCCGTCCGACTGTCGCCCAATCTCCAACGCATCCACCTCCACCTTCCTAGCTGTGTGCTGCGCCACCCACCACCGGCAAGCTTGGTCTAATGTCGCTGGAATGGCTTTTTTAAACGAGTCGCCGTACGATATCTTGACAACTGGACCAGAGAAATCGAAACTAACACTCGTCCAGTGCGGATTTCCATCGATCTTCCCTAGATGTGTTATCGACAGCAAGACGGCGCCATCGTGGACAAGACCATCCCCAATCTCGCGTAACCAGCGGAAGTTGGCGTTTGACTGGTACGCCTCCGTTCCTTTCTCGTACCCCTCGATGAGCTTGTTCGTGAAGTTCACGTCCTTGACGCGGAACTTCCATTGAGCGTCAGCACCGCTAGCGTCGATCTGACGCTGCAACAACTCGAGCAGGTCGTTTATCTGGCTGTCTGCCAGCCAGCTGTTTCCCACAAGCCGCGACATTGTATGGAAAGGCTCTGTATCCGAGAGTCCAGCCGGCTTTGCGCAACCCCACGGTATCATCGACAGCATTTGCTTGGCGGTCTCGACCATGACAGCTCTCTTTGTACCCCTACGCGCCCTCTTCCCTTGTTGGACCAGGAAGTCTGACGCCTTCATCCACTTTGCCCGCACATCCAGCTTCAATGTCAGAAGTTCCATCCAGAAGCTCAGCACCCATAATGGAAAGCGGGTCGAGCTGCCGTTGCAGTGACTGTACATCACGGATGTGAAGCCATCGAGACATGCCTGTCGACTGCTATTGTATAGCTGTCGCACCAGTTTGGCGGTGGGGATGGGAAGGTTCCGGAGGCGGAGAAGCATTGCCTCATCAACCTGGTCTGGTGCTTCTTTGCTGAAGAATTGGGCTGGGAAAGTCCCCGTGTTGGCATCGGAGATGAGGGGGAGTGGGAACTCGAGGAGCTGGGCAATGGACATGGATGATTTGGGAAGGATTCGGGTGGCGGACGAAGTGGGAATCCAAAATGCGGCGTTGATATGGCGGCGAATGCGTCGCGGCACCTCTGACATCTTCTTGCCAACACCGAACCATCTCTTGACCTCGTCAGCACTGGGTGGTTGCTCCGTATCGGAATCGGGAGAGGTCTTCGGGCGCCATTCTCTCGTCGAAGGGGGCAGAGAGCAGGGGTATAGATGAAATGGTATTAATCTTTGTAAAAAAAAAGTCTATCACAAATCAAAGATGTTAAGCGAGCACGGAGAGGACATCTGAGACACAATCTGTTACAGCTTGCCGCGGCGGACACGGACACTCTTTGACCTGTTACGCGTTCTGGCACCCTTC